AGAGCGTCTCCTGCGCATGCGCAGGAGACGCTCTTGCACCTTCGGGGGGATTTAAACATCCCCCCGAATTTTTTTTCAACTTTTTTTATTTTTGTGCACATGTGGGGACTGGCCCACATGTGCACAAACCTCCCCCGGCCCCCCAGCTGCCCCCGGAGCGCTAATTTAGCTATCCGCACTCCGGGGACTTGTTCTCCATAATCTCCAACACCTTTTTCCTGAAATTCTTTTAACTGGAGAGGCTGAGCCTGAACTTGCGATCTCCTGCATTAGCGTTGCCAGCTTCCAGCGGGTGATCGGAGATCTCCTGGGATTACAACTGACCGCCAGGCGACAGAGATCAGTACCCCTGGAGAAAATGGCTGCTTTGGAAGGCAGACCCTGTGGCATTACAGCCAGCTGAAGTCCCTCCCTTCCCCAGACTCCGCCCTCCTCAGACTCCACCCCCAAATCCCCCAGGAATTTCCCAACCCAGAGCTGGCAACCGTACTCTGCATGCAAAGCAGATGCCAGGAATAAACCGCCAAAGAAGAGAAAAAGCCAAACAAGACACACATCGGGCCCACCACATAGTGTGCTGGTAGGAACCCCCACACCATATCATGTGGCCTTAGTTAGGAGAGAAACAGTTCTTAGAACTCCCCTGTTAACCGCCCAGAGACCCCTAGGGGTTAGGGCAGTATAATAAGTTGAAATAATAAATAAATAAAGCAGACGCTCTAACCGTGAGCCACAGCCGCTCCCTTTCCCCCAACATAAAACGCGGCACAAATCTCAGAACAGTTTAAGACAAAATATGCTCTATTTTGACATCCCAGGAGGATAGCTTTGTTAGGCCCAAACGATGCGACAGGCTGCATCACGAGTCAGGCTGGGAGTCTCCTGACCCGACTCACCTTTGTAAGGTAGCCACAGTCAGTGTTCCCTCTAAGCCAGTGGTGGCGAACCTACGGCACGGGGGCCAGAGGTGGCACTCAGAGCCCTCTCTGTGGGCACGCGAGCCATCGCCCCAGCCAGGCCCAGACCATCATTAAAGTGTCGAATTCTCTGCCAAATAATTGTAAGTAAATGAAAGCATTTGAGATTGCTTTCCTTACTTTGTTTGGATCATCTTAAGTTAATGTATGAGTTGTTTTTTCTAAAGTAAAACCTCAGTATTCGGGTTAAATTGCCGTGTTGGCACTGTGCAATCAATAAGTGGGTTTTGGGTCGCAGTTTGGGCACTCGGTCTCTCAAAAGTTCGCCATCACTGCTCTAAGCTGAGTCAGTGTGAGCCAGCTCACAGTCTTTTAGCCTCCGGCTCACACAGTTTTGTCTTAGCTCAGGAAGAATGGCTCCAGAGCAAACTAATTTATGCAGTCTCCAAATCGCTCCCTGCACAACTTTATTGCCAGTAGCTCACCGAGTAGAATTTTTGCTCACAAGACGCCACCGCTTAGAGGGAGCATTGGCCACAGTCTCCAGTAAGCAGCTCCCCCCCGCCAATGCACAAAGCACCCTCCTGGAGATGTTTCAGGTCAGGAAAACAGCACAGGGGAGTGTCAAGGCCTCTCCCGGCCCTCCTGCTGTGGTTCTAGTCCCAACTGGGCCCTGCAGCACCTGAGAGGTAGGTTGCCACATGGCCACAGAGAACACAAGGCAGAGGTGGACAGTCATGACCTTGTCTAGAAACAAATACTGAGAAAACAGTCCTGAGAGTCTGACCCACGAATCAAGGTAGTCAGCAAGACTTACAAAGAATTTTTTTCCTATATATTGCTACCAATAAGCACTACATAACAACAATGAACAAATTCCATCAAATCATAAGAAAATCCTTGTATAAAAAGACATCAATGTCGTCTCCGGATTTTATAACGACGTTTCAAAGAACAGATCTTCCTCAGGAAATATTATAATGCATTTAGTAGTAGGATGCTGATCTCAAAGCTATTCAAGGCTGCAAACAGGCTACTCAGTTTCTGACGGATCCTGAGGAAGATCTGTTTTTTGAAACGTCGTTGTTATAAAATCCGGAGACGACGACGATGTATTCTTATACAAGGATTTTCTTATGATGCGATGGAATTCGTTCACTGGTGTTATGTCATGTTTAAAATTTTCTTTGTAGGTCTTGCTGACTACCTTGATTCGTGGGTCAGACTCTCACGACTGTTTTCACAGAGAATGCAAGCCGGATTCCCTGACCCAACTTGTGGCATGTCTCATGTAGAATCATAGAGTTGGAAGGGACCTCCGGGGTCATCTACTCCAACCCCCTGGACAATGCAGGAAATTCACAAATACCTCCCCCGCCACACCCCCAGTAACCTTCCACACCCAGAAGATGACAAAAAACCTCCAGGATCCCCGGCCAAACTGACCTGGAGAAAAATTGCTTCCTGACTCCAAAGTGGCAATCAGCATTTCCCTGAGCATGTCAGAAAGGGCCACAAGAACTAAGCACTGAGGCAACCCTTCCTGCCCTCCTTCTCGTGATCTGCCTCAGTTCACAGAATCCGCATTGCTGTCAGATGGCCATCCAGCCTCTGCTTGAAAACCTCCAAAGGAGGAGAGCCCACCACCTCCCGAGGGAGCCTGTTCTTTGGCCTTTAGTCTGTTACAGCAAAAAAACAGGGGTCCAAGTGGCATCGTTAGAGGCTCACACAATTTATTCCAGCTTCAGCGTTTGCTCAAAAGCATGCAACATTCGTCCGTTAGGCAGAAGCGTTTATAGCTAACATTCTTTGTTTGATTCACTTATATCACACCTTCTCCCCAACCGGGACCCAGAGTGGCTTACATCTCCAGCTCATCCTCACAACAACCCTGTGAGGTAGGTTAAAGGTAAAGGTTCCCTTGCTCGAAAGCCAGTCTAGACCGACTCTAGGGTTGCGGTGCTCATCTCCGTTTCAAAGCTGAAGAGCCAGCGCTGTCCGAAGACATTTCCGTGGTCATGTGGCCGGCATGACTAAACACCAAGGCGCACGGAACGCTGTTACCTTCCCACCGAAGCGGTACCTATTTATCTACTTGCAATGTCTTGCTTTCGAACGGCTAGGTTGGCAGGAGCTGGAACTAGAGACGGGAGCTCACTCCGTCATGTGGCACACTTGGGTCTCGAACTGCTGAACTACCAACCTTCCACAGCCTGCAGTTCAGCGTCTTAACCACTTGAGCCACCGCAGCTCCTTTAGTTCTGTTAGCTCAGTATTAACTTGCCAGTTCCTTTTTTAATTATTATTTAAAGGGAATGCAGTACCTTCTCATAAAGGTACCGGAAGTATGGAGCAGTGTGCCTTAAATGCCCCTATACCTCCCTCCCAAGAACACAGAATCACAGAGTTGGAAGGCGCCCTAGCGGCCATCTAGTACAGCCAGAAGATCCTGAGATTGTCTGGCAGCCAGAAGTTCTAGCTCTTTTAGCATTATGCACCACTAGGTGGCGAGCTAGACTTGTTTTTAGGCAAGAGACCTTTCAGAGTAATCATATTTGGTTCTATTTTGTCATTTTTGGTATTTATAAAGCCACAGGTTGCAATTCAGGACCTTTTAGCCATCTTGCAAATGCAACACAAATCTGGGGACCGGACCTCCCTGCCTTGGTTCACCCTCTTCCTTGCGTCCCACCTGTGTGTGGCAGCTAGAATTCCAAGGTCCCTCCTGGGGATGGGGGGATACAGTTTCCAGCTCCAGGTTGGGAAACTCCTGCAGATTTGGGGGGGGGGGGGTGGAGCCTGGGGAGGACAGGGACCTCAGTGGGGCACAGTGCCATAGAGTCCACCCTCCAAAGCATCCCTTTTCTCCAGGGGAAACTGATCTCTGCAGTCGGGAGATGAGCTGTAATTCCGGGGGATCCCCAGGTCCTACCTGGAGGCCGGCATCCCTCTCTAAGTCTCCAGGCCCCACCTGGGGAAAGCAGCCCTAAGCCCCGGAAATCGTATTTTATTTCACACCTAAGAACATAAGAGACGCCAATGTTGGATCAGGCCAAAGGCCCATGCAGTCCAACACTCTGTGTCACACAGTGGCCAGAAATACCAGGTGCCATCAGGAGGTCCACCAGTGGGGCCAGGACATTAGAAGCCCTCCCACTGTTGACCCCCCCCCCCAAGCACCAAGAAGACAGAGCATCACTTGCCCCAGAGCCCCTAGCTATACCTTGTGGCTAATAGGCTAGTATTTACAAAGCCTCAGGTGGTTGCAACAGGCTCCTTCCCCCCATTTTTGCAAAGGGAAGACCCATTTGCCCACCGGCCCTCCCTCCCCCGGCTCAGCCCACTTGGGCGTCCCGACCAATGTTCCCTCTAAGCTGTGGGGTCTTGTGAGCAAGAGTTCTACTTTGTGAGTTACTGACATTAAAGTTGTGAGTGAGCCATTTGGGTAGTGCATAAATCAGGTTGCTCTGGAGCCCATCCTGCTTGAGCTGAGACAAAAATGTGTGAGCTGGAAGCTAAAAAAACTGTGAGCTAGCTCACAGTAACTCAGCTTAGAGGGAACACTGGTCCCGACCCACACCTAGAGAACCGCAGATGGGGGGAAGGGGGGGGGGAACGACCCACCCACGGCGCCCCAGCTCGCTCTCGGCACGCGTCGCCCACCCTCCATCCCGCCCGCGCACCCTTTGCGCTCTGCCTGCTGGCCCGGGGCGCGCTTGGGGCAAAGGGGGGGGGGGGATCCAGTCCAGCACGCCGCAGCTGGTGCCGGAGGGAGGGGCGGGGCGGGGAGAGGAGCGGCGCCACCTGGGAAACGTAGTCCCGAGCCGGGCGCTGCCTGGGAGCCGGGGTCCGAGGCGGGACTGCAGCTCCCAGCCGGCGCCGGGGCTGGGGCGGGAGGGCGCGGCGAGAGCTCCCTGTGCGCAGCGGCCGGCCGCGCCTCCTCCTCCTTCCCCTCGCTCGGCGGCTGGAAGGGGATGATGTCACCTGCGGGGCCGGCCAGGCAGAGCCCCGAGCAGCGGCGGCGGCGGCGGCTGCAGCTCCCATTGTAAGCCGCGGGAGCCGGGGAGAGGCGGCTTGGCCGAGGATGCGGCGGCGCGGCGGCGGCTGCAGGTAGGCTCTGCCGGCCGGGCCCCTTCCCTGGTGGCGAGTCGGAGCGGGGCTTGCGGGCCGCGGGAGGGGAGACGCGGCTGCGGCCGGGCGAGGGAGAAAGCAGGAAGCCGACTTACCTGGAGGGGTGGGGGCGCCCGGTTGGGGCCCCCGCCGGGCACCCGCTCGGGGCTCCTCCTCCTTCCCCCGGGGTGGAGACCGGCTCCTAACCGGGGGCACTTTTGGGAAAAGGGAGACTCGGGTGTTGGTGGGAGGGGGGCGCAGAGGGGAACCCCCCCCCCAACTTTTCTCTCGTCTCTTTGCACTGCATTGCGAAGGGGGGGGGGCTGCATGTGCGCGGTGGGGTTTGCTCCATCGGGGACGGGGGGGTCCGCCCGCCGGCCCTCTTCCGCGCCCCCGCCCGCAGTTGCGCTTCGGTTCGAGAGCGGGCGCTGGCGGAGGAACGCCCCTTCCCCGGTAACTCGCTTTTCTGCGGTTCAGACGACATCTCCCCGCCCCGTTCCCGGGTTCGACCCGGCTGGGGAGCTTTCTTTTGGCCGGTTCGGAACGGAGGCGTGCGCTGGGCTCCGGCTAGGAACCAACCGGCGTGACGCGTGTGCGTGTGAACGCGCGTCCCCCTAGCGGGGGTCTCTGCCTCGCCGCTGGCCGGCATCCGTCCGCAGGGCTGTTGGCACGCTTTCTGCAGTAGGAGAGGGGCTGGTCTCGGCGTCCGGCTGCTTCCACCTGGTGGACCTCCGCGCCGCGGGCTCCCTTCCTTCCCTCCTCCCGGTTGTAATGACGACTCGCAACGCCGGAGAATCCCGCGAGCCCGGTTCGTGCCGCAGGTTTGGATGGGCTCGGTTTCTCATGTTATTATTAATTTATTTTTTTACTGCGGAGTCGTGGCTGAATTCATGGCGACCCGGTGGGGTTTTTAAAGCGTCAGAGGCGCATGGGTGGTCTGCTGTTGCCTGCCTCTGCGTCCCGGCACTGGTATTCCTTAACGGCCTCCCACTCCAAAATAGTAACCGGGACCGACCCTGCTTAGCTCCCCGAGAGCCGCCGGGATCAGGCCAGCCTGGGTTTCTCCAACTCAGGGCTCCATAGACTGGCTTGACGGAACCCCCCCCCCCCCCCCCCCCCCACCCCGACGCCGCAGCCCATCACTCCCGCTAAGCTGCTGTCACCAGTTTTCCATTCGCTTTCCCAGCACAAACTTGCAGGTCTCCACCGCAGTCCCTTAAAAACTGAGCTTAGGTGTCATTCAAGAAAGGAAGCTGAACTTCCATTTTTAAACACACGCACACCCACCCCAGTTTGTATACGAAGCTTCAAGGATGTGGGAAGCTGAAAGGGGGCGGGCCCCCTGCCTTGGCTAACAAGGGCCCTGGGTTTGGCTAATCGGCTTTTTAAGCCTCTGCTTTCTCCAGGGGGAAAGAGAGGCTTAATCAGGTTTTCTCCATGCGCCTGATGCAGAGCCAGCTGTTGGCTTTTCCCCCACCACCTGGGCTCCATCCTATCTGCCTCTCCCCCTCCCCCCCCCCAAGGACGAATCTAGCTTCCATTGCCTCTATTTTTCTAAATTTTATCGGGGAACCTGTTCCGGTGGTCCTTGCACATTTGGGTGGTCCTTCCTTTGCCGCACATGCGGTTCGGGAGATAAATCAGGGACACAGCCGTGCGCGTGACGTGGGGAGAAAGCCAGATTATCTCCCACTAGGTAAGGGAGGAATCTTCCTTTTGTATGTGCCGTGTGCCTCTTAATTTACCCTTGGTGTGCTGTGCGTTCTGTGTGGCATCGTCGGTCTTTTGCTGTAGTCATAAAATCGTACCCCGAGTTGAGGGCTTTTGGAGGAGAGCGTGGCTGCAACAGGAGAAATGGAAGGGGGGGCTTTGGAAATCGGGTTGCTATGGTTACTCGGGCTGTTGGAATCCTGGCTGGCTTTACATCCCCCCC